TCGCCGCTGTCACCCGCCGCGGCCGCCCCGGCTCCCGCCGCTCCATCTCTGCGCTCCGGCCCTGAGACCCCCGAGCCCTGCTCGCAGACCCCCGTCCCATCACTCCCAGCTTCCTGACCCCATGCACCTCAGTTCTTGGCCCTTGATCACCTGCAGTTGTCTGGCGTCCCGAGTCTAGGCACTCCTAGTTCCCTGACTCCTGTCCATCACTTAACGCCAGCTCTTCGGCACTTGTCCCCCAGTCCCTCCAGTCCTCTGACTCCCTTGAGCAGTCATTTACCAGACCCCCAGTTCTCAGATCTCCCATGTCTTAGTCCCAACTAACTCTTAGACCCCCTGAGTCCCAGTTTCAGTTCCGGGTCCCCCTACTTCCCAGTCATTGCCACCACCCAGGCCCCTTGTCTCGGTCACGCCAGTCTCCACACAGTGTCCTCTCTAGACACTCGTAGTTTGCTGACCCCTGAAACCCATTTCTCCGTAGCTCCCCGTCCCCAGAGGACTCGGTTCTCCAGCCTCTTTGTTTTCCCTGTCCTTCTCATTCCCTCTTCTCTGGCCCCCAGCGCTTTGCTGACCAGTTGTTCCCAGTTACTTCGTTTCCCGCTCTGGTCCTTGGTTCTTACATCTTGGTGATTTTTTTCAGACTCCAGCCCCTTCGTTTTCTTTTCTTAGCTCCTCTGAGATCTCCCTTGTCCTGTCGTGCAAGCCTTCCCTTGTCCAGTGCTGAGCCCATCTGGGGACATCGCTTGTCCCGCCTGGTCCACCCCTCGCCTTCCCACAAGGGAGGGGGCTGGTTTTGGCGGGGAAGCTGGGGCGTGTGTGAAGGGAGGCGGGTGTGGACAGATGTCCTCGGTGTTTCCGAAGTTTAGTCCCTAGAGTTGGATTCGGATTCTCAGTCCTTTCCTCTGAAGAGATCTGTTGGTGTTTTGGTGCTAAGTCATTCCTTGGTGCTGTATGTGGAGATGGAGTGACTCAGGGAAGCCTCTCAGCCCGCCCAGACCGGGCTCTGGATTCACTTAGGAGGACCCGCCCACCCTCACATGGCCTGTTTTCCTCTCTCTGAAGAGCCCAGCTTCCTTGGCCCTAGCCTTTCAACCGGCATTTCTGGAAGCCATGTGTGTGGCAGGCGCAAGGCAAAGGGGATAACACGTCTCTTAATTTTTAACTTTTAAGTTATCTCGTAGATCATTTTTTCGAAGTTATGTGCCTTTTGTTTTTGCTACTCAAGAGCAAGATTTGTGAAATTGATGGTCCTAATGAGGGAGCTGGTGGGGGGTGGGGGGCAGGGTAGAGGATTTCTTGGGGGATAGTCCAGCTTCCCTGCCCAGAGCAAACGATTTTTGCCTAATTAAAGTTTCTGGTCCTTGGAATAACAAAGATGTGATGAACTGGTTTCCACCCAGGAGGTAATACAGCCTGGTGTAAGTACAGGCCCTGGAGCCAGATGGCCTGGGTTCAAATCCTGGCTCTGCCACATAAAGCTGTGTGATTCAGAGAGAGTTACTTGACCATTCTGGAAGTCCCAGCAAAATGGGGACAAACAGTACCCATCTCCTAGGCATTGTTGCAATGACCAAATAACATTACTCAGGTAAAGTGATTGGCATGTGCCTTTTGCAGGAGATGTAGTCAGGAGCTTAGAGCTGTTGTTGTTTCCTTAAGGACCCATGTGGGGCTCAGGTGGGGTGGTTTTGTGGTCCAGATCTGGGACAAAGGCTGAGACTAAGTACTCCCTGAAAATCTCTTCCTTTTAATGTGATGAAGGAGTCTCTGCCTTAGGCTCACAGTTGTGGACCATTTTCTCCTTTGCCTTCATCACAGGAATAGGTGAGACTGATCAATGATCAAGGAGCGATTTAATATTAGAGATAAGTTTTAAAATTTAATTAAAAAAATTATTAGGTCTAAGGCCAAAAACTGACAAAAGGAAACCAACAAATGGCTTTTAAAAAGGAAAATGCATTAAGAACGAAAGCCTTCTTTTGGAAGGATTGTAATTGAGAAAAAGTGGTTGCCAAGACTGGAAGGGGAAGTCCAAGGGGTTTTCAGTCGTTTTTGAGAATATAGTTGAAATTGGGTTTTCCCACTTGTGGGATTGATAATTGGCACACAATAAAATAATGTGGCATGGAATTGTTTCCTCTCTTTTGTTTGACCTTTTTATTAATAGAAAAATTTAAACATCATGAAAATGAAGAGAATAATCTAATGAACAATTACCAACTCGTGACCACTTCACCTATATACCTATTTACTTCCTACCTCCCCAGTTTGTTTTGAAACTAATCCCAGGCACTATATCATTTCAATAGTAAATATTTCAATATGTATCTCTAAAATACAGGGACTCCCTTTTAAAAACAGAATTCCATTTTCATACCTATAAGAACTTAGCAATAATTCATTAACATCATCAGATAGTCAATGTTCAAATTTCTATGATTGCATTATAATCTTATTTTATAGTACATTTTTAAAACTCAGGACCTAAAAAAGTTTTAAACAATGCAGACTGGCTTGTCCTTTAAGTCTTTTAGGCTTCTCTTTTTTTAGTTTAAATCTTTTTTCAGTGTTCGGTATATTCACAGAGTTGTGCAAATAGCACCATAATCACGTTTAGAACATTTTCATTATTCCAGAAGAAACCCTGTACCTGTTAGCAGTCGTTCCTCATTCTCCCTCCCTTCCGCCCCTGGCAGCCACTAATCTACTTTCTCTGTGGATTTGCCTATTCTGGATATTTCATATAAATTAGTCCTACAATATGTGGAGTTTTGTGTCTGGCTCTTTTCACTAAGTATGCTTCCACAGTTCATGTTGTAGCATGTGTCTGTACTTCATTCCTTTTTGTGGCTGAATAATATCCATTTATGTGGATATTCACATTTTGTTTGCTTATTCGTCAGTTGCTGGACATTTCACTTGTTTCCACTTTTTGGCTATAGTGAATAATGTTGCAGTGAACGTTCACATGCAAGTTTTTGTGAATATATGTTTTCATTTCTCTATGGTATGTAAGAGTGGAATTGCCGGGTCATAGGGTACCTCTAAGAGGAGAATTGCTGGATCCATTTGAGGAACCGTCAGACTGTCTTCCAGTGTGGCGGCACTATTGTCCTTTCCCACCAGCACTGTATGAAAGTTTGGTTCCTCCACATCCTTGCTTACTGTCTTTTTGATAATAGCCATT